ATTTTTCAGAAATATTTAAAAATGTAGGGCGAAAACAGGGCAAAGCCTCCCCGCTGCTCCCAGCCCAGGGAAAGCATGCAAGCAATGAATGAATGCAAGCAAGCCAAGCCTCCCTCCCGAACCTCCCGTCTCCTCGCCTTCCCCAGCAATAAGCAATGCAGCCACGTGGAGCCGCTTTTAAAGGGCAGCCCGCCCAATCACAATGAGCCACGGTGCTTGGGAGCGCCGGATTGGCTCCCGTCGCACCCAGCATCCTCCATCCCTAAAACGTCATTTCCGAAACGGGCGGAAGCTCGTAAAAAAGATGGAGGATGCCGTTTCGATATTTAAAAACACTTCCGGGTTTGAAAATATGTTTTGTAATCGTTTTGTAATTGCTAAAAATAACGAATATTTAACGAATTACAAAATTAACGAATGAAACCGCCCAGGCCTAATATAAACCCCCTTTTTTCCCAGTTCCAGCAGACCTCACCTCTGAGGATGCTTGCCATAGATGCAGGCGAAACGGCAGGAGAAATGCCTCTAGAACATGGCCATATAGCCCGAAAAAACCCACAAGAACTGAAATGGGGCTTTATTTATAAATGGGGCTTTATTTATTTAAAGCCCCATTTATAGTTTCCAAATCCGAAAAAGGAAGACAGGTAGAAAGTAGAAAGGAAAGAAATAGATGAGACTTTTACTTTTAAAAATAAAATGCCCAACCCCTAGACAGAGAAACCAGGGCTTTTCATCCCTACCCTGCTGGCTGCATGGCTAACAGTGGCACGCCCAGGCAGGCCAGGCACCTTGCAGCCTGAAAAGCAGAGCAGCAGCAGACACTCTCCTCTTCCTGAAGCCGAGCATGACCCCCCCCCAAACAAGGGATGGTGACTTATAGTTCTGCAAAGGACAAAGGTACCAGACTGCACAATAGGGGTTAAGTCTTGGTCAATTTGCCAAGGCCTTAACAACAATGAGGAACTCATGAAACCTTGGGAATAGCTAGACCTTGGGGTCTCTGCCTCTCTCGGGAGCTGTAGTTCTCCAAGGACGGGGAGCAAAGC